TGCACAATTGGTGACTGACTAAATACTTATTTTCCCCACTGTAACTGATATACCAGTAATACCTCCATCTATTTTTCTTATTTGATTGTGTTTTCTTTTTTTAAGATTTCTTTCACCAAAACAACCAAACAAAACACAACCCAGAGAAAAGTCCTCCAAAAAAGGGGGGGTTTTTTTTTTTTTTTTTTTTTTTTTTAAGATGATGCATTTCCTAGGAGATCACTAGTTGTCCTTTTTAAACAAGTTATGTTATATTTGTGGCTCTAAACTGGTTCTGTTTAGATTGGCTCTATGGATGGTGAAGGTAATAAGCCTCCTGCTGCAGAACTTCCTCTAAGGCCAACTACTGCCTTATGTTAAAAAAAGACTCCGTTTTGAGTCTGGTTTTCAGGAATTGAGACAAAATTATTAGTTTGCATCACTGATTAATTAGTTTGCAGTGATTAATCAATAAGCAAAACATGTGCCAAAACATAAGGCACATGTTTTGGTCACCACATCTCATGACTGCATACAAAAGCAGTCGTAGAAACACTTACCTTTCCCCAAATGTGTATTGATGCTCATGTATCTGGCAGTTCCAGTCAAACTCTTGTGTTCTCTGTATGGGATATGTTTCTTTGTCTCAGGGTCTATGTATTCTTTTGCGAGGCCAAAGTCTATGATGTGAATGGTGTGTTGCCGTTTGGAGCCGGGTCGGCCCACCAGGAAGTTCTCAGGCTTCACGTCTCGATAGATGAGGCTTCTGGTGTGCACAAACTCCATTCGGGTTATCTGAGGGAGACGACGACATCAGCACCATTTACAACAATCAGATACGAGCTGTTTCTGAGGCCTGAGACTTAAAGAGCTAAATGTCTTACCAGCTGTATGGCTATCATGAGTACAGTTTTTAGAGAGAAAGTCCTGTCGCAGAGGTCAAACAGGTCTTCTAGGCTGGGTCCAAGCAGCTCCAGAACCATGGCATTATATTTCCCACATGGTCCAAAGTAAAACACCTGAGGTACACCCTCTGAAGGACCAGCAGAGGAAAACAGACAACAAAACCATCAATGGCTTTTTAAAAAAAATAAAATAAAATAAAATAAATACTTTCAGTGCACCACACTGAATCTCACGAGAAGACTGAAAAAGGTTAGCCTGGTAAATACCAGCCACTACTTTGTCCAGAGAGTCTGGGCTCTAGACTGTTGAGAAGCGATTCTGTCCTGGAGTGTGGACTGTGTGGAAGTTTGCAATTCTACCCACTCAATAACCTATGTAATACGCTAGTTCGACGTTATGAAGCTTACCAGAAATTGCCTGTGCACTTAATAACCATCCGTGTTATTAGTTCAGGGTTAATTCAATAGTTGGAAGCCTGACCAACACAGACTGAACAACTTCCTTCACTTCTGTTGCTCCCACTGCTGTTTTGGACTTCAATTCCAAAACAGTGCAGGAAATCAACATTCACAACTTCTTATGTTCAATGATTAGCCTGCTAGAAAACCTTCCAGAGGCAATCCAAGTGAATTGGAGAAATCCAACACTGTGCTGTGAAGAGAGATTGGAATCGTGCAGAATTGCATAGGAAGGCAATGGCCAGGCTAAAAAAAGTAAGAGTCATTAACAACAATATTGAAATCTGAAATTGTGGCTTAAATTTAAATGACTTTGAAAGTTTCATTTTACAAAAGTAAGAAGATATGAGAAAAATCTGAAGATTTTCACTTCACCATCACCTCCATCAGGTCAGATGTATCAAACCAAAAAGTAGTGGGAAAAACTAACTGTTTTGAGGCTGCATACCATAATAATTAGAATCTTAAATAGTTCCATCCGCTGCTTTTATACTTGGCAGATTGCAGTTTTCTGGCCAATCGCCGATTACTGATCTTTAAAAAGCCTGACCTGCCGATTATGATTTTGGCTGACACCATTTTTTTTGTTGTTAATTTTGCAAAACATAGCAAGAAAGTTGCTGAGTTGGCAAAAGTGTGGTGACTACTGTTAACTGCAAACATGACCTGGTGGGCGAGTCTCTCATAGCAGAGCAGAAGAGGACGGTGGTTGATTTTTATATCTTTGCCAAGGGAGATAAGATCAGTGGTCAGCTTCAGATCTAACATCTAAGTATCGGCTGATCTCCCAAAATTAAAGACTTGCAAAAGCTTGTTAAGGTTTGTTAGGGGTCCTTCTGATGGCCAACAATACTTTGGTGACTAACAAGAAGAGTTTACGGTTTGACATAACAAGATAACATGTTTTCTGTGTCTGCTCTCTTCTCAAACCCACAGTCAATTGTGGCAGACAGCCGCTCACACTGAGCCTGGTTCTGGTTCTGCTGGAGGTTTCTTCCAGTTAAAGAGGAGATTTCTACAATTTTTTTTCCTACATGCTTGCTCAGGGATTGCTGCAAAGTCAACCACACAATGAAAGTGAGTGCATACCATCAGTGCATGTTCGTCCAGGAGGAGTGAATGCTGCAAGTCAATGACTCCATGCTCTGCTGGGTTTGTTTAGAAACTATTTACCAATGAAATGTAACCAACGTGGAATCTGCTTGTATGATTGGTTTTAGTAAAGTAACTAAAATAATAATTACAAATAATAAGAGATTATTTGTTGTGAATTAAAACTGAATATATCTGGTTTCCATAAAATTAAGAGTTCTGACAAGAGACATTGATCATCATCTCACTGTGGAACGCAGCATAAGCCAACATGTGAACAGTCTGTCCCTGAATTTATAGAATGCTTGATGCAGACCTACTCAGGTCCACTCCACTTCAGCAGTTAAATAAGGGACATTCGATATTATGTGTACTCAAACCTTAAATATATGCAAACACCAACAAAAGTTAGGGAAATTTGGATTTTTGGGTGTTAAGTTCACCTTCTTAGGTGACCTTCTCTAAACATTTGAATGCACATGTTCAAGTGTTCAATGTTTCAGTTCTTCTTGCACAACTTGCTCTTCTCTAACAAGGAGCTCAATGGCAAAATTCACAACAGCAGTTTCATCAGTCAATCATCAATACATTTTCAATCAGAAATGGTATTTGAACAGTCCTCTTCATCGTGATGTTCACATTCTGATATCATGAGGCCAAGATGGCACCAACAACTGATGAACCGTACCTCGGCACTGAGGTTTCAAACAGGATGCTCTCAGACCAACTGACCACTGAGCTTAGAGCGCAATCAGCTGGTTACAACAGAAACTGGAACAGTCACAGGAGGGTATAGACGTGACGCCCTTTAGCTGCTCAACTCCTGGCACTTTAAACACAGATGACACTTTTATAATATATCATTGCAAAGAAAACTTTTGACATTTTCCATAAATTTCACCCAAAAGCATATATCACATTTTGTGAGTGGTGTATGTTCATCCTTAAAAACTAAAAACAGATGCACCTACAAGGCATTGTCATCCCTTACCTGAACTTCCCAGTTGTTTGTAGAAGCGATATTCTAGATGCAATTGTGGTGCTCGGGACTTGATGGGTTCCTGTGAAAGGACCAAATCAGAATCAGAATCATCTTTAATGAATCTTCATGAACAGCACTGAAACCTGTCCAGTTAAATCCAAACCTTTGTGAGAAAATCAGAGATGTGATTCAGTCCATCTTCAACTAAGCTCAGCATTGTACATATTGAATTATGATTTCAGCTCTTTTCACAATTTTGTTTTATTGGTACTAAATTCTTTTTAATTTTTGGCAATAAAAACGAACACAAACTGAAATGCACATAAACAAAAAACACCACAACCACAGAGCAATATTGCACTGGCAGCAACATGCTCTGAGGTTAGTTTTCTCTTTTATTGCCACAGACTCTTTTTTGGGAGGGATTGTCATGAATCACTATGAAAACAGAGTTAAGATCATCAGTCCAATTTATTAAAGCCAAATATTAAAGCCAAATAAGTGATAACATTATTTAGGAACAACAGAGAAACACCAGTGCTGTAACACAAAGTGGCCCCTGGCAACAGAATTCCCGTCCTTTTTGCTCCTACATAAGCTATGCCCTAAAGAGGGCATTACCCTGTGAACTTTACGTGCGTATGTATGTGCATGCAAACAGCTCAAAGAGAGAGAAAAAAACACAGAATCATTTAACCGTAACACTTTAGATGGAACAAGACACTTTGTCAAGTTGGACGAAATCATGAACAGCTTTTGGTCCAAAACTTTCACCTGTCTGCTGGAAGTTCCTGATAAAGAGAATTTTCTTTTCAGCATCACCAGGTTCAAGCATGCGTAGGAATAGAAAAGAATGGCTTCACCAGAAGAAAATGAAAGTATTGTTATGGCTTAGTCGTAGTCAGAACTAAATCTGACAGAAAATCTAAGGGTTCACCAGAAGTTGGCTGTGGACAAGAGATGTCCTCATAATGTGGGATTTGGAGAATTTTGGTGAAAGGGGGATAACGTTACAAAGGCTAGGATGCTGATATACTGCAACTGAAGACTGGATGCTGAAACTGAATGAAAAGTTGTTTCAACTATGTTTTTTTTCTCAGGGTGTGCACCTTTATGTAGTCGGGTTACTGGAGCTTCATGATTTTGTGTCTCTTTTCCAGAATAAAGACAGTGGACTCCCTCCAAGGAGTCCAGTCAAACTTATCAAGTCAGACAGGTGACTAAGAATTTATTTAAAAAGTTCGAGAAGTTTTTTTTATTTTTCTTTAGGTATGTGAGAAACAGGAGACAGGGCAGCCATCTTGACTCTACCGAATCAATCAGGACATCAAAGTGGCAAGTAATTCACAGCTAACAGAAAAATAACTCTCACCTTCTTGGGATAGTTAAACTACATAACACTCAGCACTGGGGTTCTCATTTGTAAGGAAATTACCTTAACGTCTTTAATATCTGAGGACTATTGACCAATTCTGTAAATATTTTTATTTTTTTTATTTTACATTTATTTTACTAGGATTAAAAAAAACACCTTGAGATTAAAAACCTATTTTTTCAAAAAAAGTCCTGGCCAAGAGGAAACAACAAATGCACAACTGTAATGTATTGGATTTAACTATATAAAAACGTTGTTATATACACAGCCTGAAGAGGATTTTTACCAGTTTGATGGCCACATATTCATTGGTGTACAAGTTCTTTCCAAGTCGTAGTTCTCCAAAGTTCCCACACCCGATCTTCTTTCCGACCCGGAAATTTGGCCCAACCATCAGAACTCCTGAGCCGGAGCCAGCAACTCGGCCGCTGTGTCCCGATCTTCCCCCAGCCTTCCCAGACATCCTCTTCCCATCCTCAGCCTCCCCCTTCCCTCCACCTCCTCCGCCTCCACCACCTCCTCCTCCACCTACTCCACGCTTGTCAAAGTCCATCAGTTTGTGGTAGCCTGGCCTCTCCACGATTAGGCTGATTCCATGCACCAAAACAAGCACCAAAACTACTGCCTCACGGCTTGATTTCCAGGTCTTTCAGTGATCCAACTCAGAGGCACACACTTTGGCTTTAAAGGGTGAATTGAATTAAAATGTGGAATCTTGTGCGACAATGGTATGGATTCAAGATGACTAAAATCAAAGAAAAAAGAAATGGATTGGAGTTAAAGAACGGGATAAAAAGCGTATTTGACTGAAAGTGCATCAAATTTGAAGAATACAGAGTGAAGAGGCACAATTAGGAGTGACTTTCTGTCCCCCTTGCAGGGGCCAGAGATGTTAAAGGAAGTTGAAGGACTGATGTGCAAGGATATGAAGCTAGCCAAATGCTGGCATGCTCTATAAAACGAGAAGGGTGCCCTTGTCTAAGGCTTAGACAAGTTGGTCCAGCATGTCAACACTCGGTAAAGGAGTTCAGAGGTTTCACCTCCGACCTTCAGCTAGGACAAGACCTAGAGCTGCTATCTAACTTCCTGCCATACGTTTCAGGAACCGAGAAGGACTTCAGTACCGGTACCAGCACCGCTACTTGGTCTATAGCACCACATAAGGTTTTGGTTCACGGCTCCAGAAATGCTGTACACTGGGAAACCTGAAAAAAACATACAGAAATAGATGATTTAGTTCTCATGTCCACTCATAATGTCATGGATTTTAATATTCAAGTAGTCAATGATTGATCTGTGACTTCATTAAAAAGATCAGCCCATACAACAAAGTTGATTATTTGTGTGTTTTGAAAGATACCCAACAATAACATAACACTCCCAGTTGAGGTCTGTGTTTAAACGCTGCCACTGTTCATACATGCTCTGTGCCAGAATCAATTGCACTGACTTATGCTACATGGCATGAATTAAAGCAATACTTTGTTTCACTGAACACATAAACTCTGTGGTGCAGAGTCTACATTATACTAACTACATATGAAAGCAGCCCGTTTCTGCTGCACAGTCTTTAAACTGTGTCCACTTTTATCCACATTCAGCCTTTTACTCATCTTCTGTGTCTTATCTACATAGAATAACATCAGGCTGCGAATCTGTTAGAAAGATGCCTGAAAAGCAGTGATAGAATTTGCTTTATCTCACTGACTGACTTTGTGAAAAAGGCTCAAAGTTAACTTTTTTTGATTTAAAAAAATAAGTCCAAGGAAAGATAAATGTACATAACAGAAAAACAACATAATACATGTAAAAATATTTCATTTCCCATTGGGATTAATATATATTTTAATTAAAATTTAAATCTGCAAAAATTGGAACAGGCAGACCAAACTTTAAAAAAAATAATAAAATCAATATTAAAGATCAGATGTAGAATTACAAACAAGCATTTATAGTGACTATTAGTGTCCTTTATATTATGGTGATCGTTGAGCAGGAAGCTGCTCTGTGGATTAAATAAAGTAAATACTTTTTTGATGTGTTTTTGACCTATGTTGGCATGTGAACGACTTTTTGAGGAGAATGACTCTTTAATCACAGCTTAGTGAAGCAAAAACTGCAAATAAATTCATAAGGAAAAAGTATAATCAACCCAGCCTAATGAAAGGGCAAAGGAGAAACAAAAGTCTGTAGAGGAAGAGGAAATGTCTGAGACAGAAGTTGAGTCTGTCAATGCATCCATGCTGATGTCATTAACAGGAAAAAAACAGAATGACGTGACCCCTGTAGCACACAGTGACACCAGCACAGTAATAACAAGCTTCCCTCCTTTATTGTTTATGCAATTTCTCAAAATGCTTAATAGAAAAAAAAACATAACATATACGGTTTGTCAGATCATCAACAGGTATTGGTATGGGTAATTAATAGATCAAACAAAAATCTGAGGACGAAGGCAGCAACTAGTTCATTTTTTTAGGGAATTCTGTGCATAGAAAATAACTACTTTGTAAGAAAATAAAAAAAAGCTTCAACAGTGCAGATGTATCAGCTCTTTGCTTGAGAATCTCAACTCATTGTGAATGAGGGAACCATAATCAGCTGAATTTAATAAGGTGGGAAATTAGGTTGCTTTAAAGTTAACAAAATGCAGGTAGGCTAAAATCAGATTTCATAACAAAATGTAAAAAAAAAAACAAAAACAAAAAAAAAAAACAATGCTGCTTGGCTAAAGTTAGATCTAAGCCTTTAATTATACCCTTCAAAGCAGGTCAGGCTCTGTTGTTGTTTCTGCCCTCCCACAGCAGCCTCTGTCAGATTGAGCAACTCACAGGAAAACAGATAATCAATGGTGTTCTGTAGCTAGTGGTAAGGAAGGGTTAGACACGTTCACTCCCACTACATGGTGCCCCGGCACAAAAAACCAAACAATAGTCGAATTAGGAGATCTCATATAAATGTGGCCTAAATAAAAATAAAACAGCAAATGTTTGTGCATCATGCTTATTGCACAATCTTCAACACAGTCTAAGGTCCTAAAGTACGGTAATCAGTGTAATCTTTTTGCAAAAGAAAACTAATATGAAATTATGTGAAAGAGACATTAAGAATATAAAAAATATACAGCTTAACTAATTTCTGTTTAAAAGATGAGCAGGAAAACGGACCAAGATATTAAATTTAGTTTTTATTTTTTAAATCACCTCAAAAAGGTGGTGAATCTTCCCACTGTGCAACGCCTTGCTGTGTTTTGCATCATGGCCTCCACTGAGCTGTCAACATTGAGCCAAGCAGTGGTAGTTTTATGTGTAGTCTGCATTCTGTTAATCTTACGCCTACATGAGAGCACAAAACCTCAAAAGCAAAAGTATTTTTTTCCCAGCATGCCACTGGCTCAGAGCCTGACCCACATTACTGAGCAGAAGATTCAACAGTTCGAGCACCACAGGAGAAATCTCATCAGCAGAGACCAAAACACTCTCACCTCTTATTCAACCCTTACATTCACTTTTGTCTAGGAAATCACTGACAAAAAACATTTACACGTGCTGAGCAGCAATGGCGTACTGTTTGATTATACCTTGTACACAGCAAACTAATGTATGCGTGCAGCTCGGCGCTGAACTGAGTCCCTTCCATTGGTGATCAGAGCTCTTGATGTTCAGGGGAAATACTGAACATCAACATGGCCTTGGTTTACCACCCGAACTCCACTGGACTTCATTACATCCTACTCGCTTCATAACACGACTTAATAGGAGAACCAGCGGTCACACCAAAGTCAGACTTTTCGCATCAGCATGTACTACTATTTTGTACTTGGAGACGAAAAGTTTGTGCGATGAGCTAATGTTAGCTGAACACCTAAACATTCAGGTTCAGCCTGGCTACTACTGTAGGCCTGCTCTTAACATTTGGTACTTGTTTATTCATTAAACCCCGTATTTCTTGTGTTGTTGCACGGCAAGCTACACAGAAAGAAAACAGCACAGGAAGTTGGGTTTTAGGCCACAACAGTTTCTGTGCTTGGCCTGAAGATGTTGAGGTTCATTGAAACAAATTTAAAGTCGCAGTCTGGAGAAAATATAGCGGCAAAAATGACTCGCGGTTCCGCAAGGGAAGACAGGAACCATATGAAAAATGGCTGCGAACAGTTTAGCTGGATAACTATATTATCAATCATAAAGCTTTCAATAGCTTCTGAGGTAGCAGTGAAACGTAGCTTGTCAGAACCTACCAAATGCTAACATGTTAGCTAGCTAGCTCACTAGCTACCGCTGACTTTCTGCCTTACACCTCATCATACGGAAACACAACGAACTCACTCCTGCCTATACATTTAACCAGAGTTAAAAACAAGTCTTACATACCTTAACTGACTGTGTGTGTTCTTATACTTCCTGTTTGACATTAACTATGATGGTTTTCTTCGACTCGTTTCCCTGATCATCTCTTTTACTGTGCATGTTTGGCTAACCAACTACAAAGCTGCGCCAATGACCTAACGCTGTTTGCGTAGATACAGTTGAAAATGTCGGTCCTGAGAGAAAAACCGAACGTAAATGTACTTGAATAAAATCTACATACATTTTGCGTACCTGTATGTGTGAGAAAAACAGTAGGCACAAACTGTTTGAAACTTTTTTTTTCCATATCCACTGATCTACTCGGAAAGTTTTTTATATTAATGTATTGGCTCATTGTTCTTGTATATTTATTTGAAATAGAATAACCGCGGAAGAAAATAATGTGCTTTTGTATACTGTAAAACTTAAAATATTAAATTAATTTCATTATCGGAACAATTATTTAGATAAGTACACATGATTCCCAATCGGATATATTTTTATGGACAGAAAATCACTTCAATTCAAAAATATTTTATCCCAAAAGGAAATTAAATGTTGTCATAACCCATATCAAATTATCTTCAGAGTTGTTGTGTATGCATACAGAACAACTATTACTGCTTGTTTATTTCTAGCCAAGAAAATCTACTTAAAAGAATAAGTCACTACATACATATTATTATCATTAGCAAGGGACAAACACAATTTAAATATGTTATTTTTTTAAACTAAAACTGACCGAAATGCAATGTTACATTAAAAGGGAGAAAGGGAGAATCAAAATGCAGACAGTTTCACCAGGACGCCTAAAGTGAGAAGCCCTACCTCCCCTTCCTTAGACAGAGTTTGGGGAAGAAGACGAGAGCTGATCCTATGAGAGGCCTCATGGGCCAAAACTTGCAAACTCTCACATGTTCTATCAAACTCTTACTATATGCTTTTGCTTTCAAACTCTTATATATATATATATATATATATATATATATATATGAGCAGTTGCAAAGAGTGCAAAAAAAATGAATAAAGTGGGACAACGTTGTTGTTTGGACTTTCACGGTGTTCTTAGTTGTGTAGATAAGAGTGCTGAACAATCACACGCGTATTTTTCCGCCAGGGCGGTGCGGAGCGGTGAGGAGGAAACCATATTTGATGGACAAACGCTAATCTACGTGTAACGGGAAGTAACTGATATGCAGAGAGAAGTAGAAACATGTTGGCGCTGGTGATAAGTTTGATCTCCTTGATTCCAGCTAATGGTGAGACTTTTATTAATTTTGAATCAATGAAACAACGTACATACTAATTTGATGCACATGCCAAGTGCTGATTTACTTGTATTTTGTAACATTGAAGTCCATTATGGACTTCAACGGACTTCATATTATGCTATGAAGTCCATTCAGTTTTAGTATTTTCTTCTTCTTCATGTTAGAAGAGCCTCAATGGTCTTAGATCTTTAGATTTGCGTGAGGTACCATAAACATACTTTGCCTAATGTTTCTGAACACTTTGGGATTATAAACTAAATTTAACTGCATTGTGATTGTCACATTCATTACATTGTATGTAATGAATGTGAATCTGTCTATGAAATTTGACTGATTTGATTATACATTTTCATATGTTAACTGTGTGTTAAAAAAACAAATTAAATTCAATTGATTTTAACTCATACAGTTACACAACAAGGCTAATCTACAAGACATTAGTTAAAAAACTACCTAAAAGAGGAATTAAAAGCTAGACTTATCCAGACTCATGGGAAGTACTGCATACAAATGTTATGATATTAAGCAGCTGCATGCTTGATTCCACAGGAGCTGCTCATGGAGCTGATGTGAGCATTTCACCTGGAAATGGTTTTAAATATCGAGTCGGAGTAGATTTCAACTTGAGTTGTAAATTTACATTTTTATCCTCCATGCATTTTGCACAGATGTGGAAAGAAGGTGAAAGAAAGGTAGGTCAAAAATATTTTTCAGATTTCACAGAAATGTTGTGATGAATTAACTCATTAACAAAAACTGTGAAAAACTTTACTGCTTTAACTAATTTAACTTAAATAAAAAAGTCAGTTGCTGAAAAACAGATCTAAAATGGCCTCCAACATGTTTAAGTTCTAAACCCAACTAGAAACATAAGATTCTGAAAGTTGAAAGATCTAGTTATTATTGCAGTTAATTAATTAAATTAAATGTACCAATTTAATTCCTTTGAAAAGTAAAATTAAAACAAAAATTAACTAATTTGTGATGTAAAATCAAAACAATTAGGGCATGAATTATGTGTTACCAGTATAGTAGAATGTTTGATACATTTGAACTATTTTACTTTCTTTCATGAGTCTTTTTGTTTTTGCTTGTCATTTATTCTGAATGGATTATTTCAGGATGTTACTTTTTTACTACAAGTTTTCTGTACTTACTTAACTCAGAGTTGACTTAGTTCTTTCTCGTGTTCGGTTCTTTGTTCATTGGCTTAGATTCTTATTCTAGTATTAGTCTTTGGTTTTTCGTTCAGTCAGGCCTGTAGTGACCTGTTCAGTTCTTTCTGTACTCCAATTGTGTGAGTCATGCAGTAGTAATCAGTCACACCTGCTTCTAATGTCCCATATCCACCTTCATTTAACAGAAAATGTGGTTCTGTTGTGTGTTTGTTCCAGTCTATTTAGTCTTCAATTCTTTCTTTGTCTCTTTTTGTAAGTCTAGGACTTACACTGTAATGTATATATTTTTTTAAAATAAACATTTTACGTACCTGCAATCAAAATTGAGATCTACTTGTAAATGAATGAATAAATAAATATTCTGTGTTCATTCATTTAATTAGATGAGTCTAATCTTGTCTAATAAATTTACCAAGTATCATAAATGTCAAAAACACCATTTAGGATACTTTTTTTTAATTCCATCAAATTTCCATCGACTGGAACTTTCCTTTCTGCTCCCCTTCCCAGCTTTTCATCATTTCCTAATTTGCTTCTACCTACTCCCTTCCCCAGCTGTGACAAGCTCTTAGGGTTCCTTTGTCATTTCCACCTATACCTCAGTATTTAAGCTCTTCTTTCTCTTTCACTGACTACTGGATCTTCTGCTAAACTTCCCTAAACTTCTTCCTTATTACTTTCTGTTTTAGTTGTTTCTCTGCTGGTTTCCCTGAGCTTCATGTAAATTTTCTTTTCTTGACTTAGTCACTAAAGATTTTTAATATGATCTGACGCTTTGGTTTGTTGCCTGAAACTGGAACCTGCCACCAGTCCAATTGTTTATGTAATCCAAATTTAAAAACAATATCTACTCTTTAAAAGAAATCCTACTCAGCTGGTTTACCCAGCTTTTAAAATTAACCATAATTTAAGACATGCATTCACATGTAAACAAACAGCTCATCGTAACTGCTTAATGAACCACACTGTTTGAGGACTTTAGGAATATTATATGCATAATAAAACATTTCAGCTCAATGTGGAGTCATGGGATAGGCTTTCTGTAAACGTTGTGATTAGAGTATGAAAAGTCTGTAAAATGTAGATTTCACTAAAGTTACTGCAGAATAATAAACTTAGCAAAATGCTAAGCCCTGGAAGTCTGTGATCACATCATTGTTGGTGTTTGTCTTTCAGAAGTGTCTCATCAACATGACCTCTTCTCAGCCCAATGTGACTGTGATTCTACACATCACATCTGCAAAAATAGCAGACACTGGGAATTACAGCTGTAGCACTCATCCAGATTATAAAACAGTCGATGCAATTAGTCCTCTAGTCTACATTCAGATAACAGGTAAGATCATCATAACTTTGTCTCAAAGGAAGCATCACTGATGCCACACTGTCACATTTGGGAGGCAAAATAAAGAAAAAACAACAACATTTATACACATTGTCTGAGCCTATTTTGTTTTCTTTAGGGTCACAGGCAGAGCTTCAGCCCATCTCAACTGTCAGTGTTCAAGAAACACCATCTGACTATGAAGAGTTATCAGGCCATCACAGGCAAGGTGAAGATTTTCTATAGAATCTTAATTGGCAAGAAGTTCAAGGCCTAAATCTTATTAAACAAACAGCCTTTTACTTTGCAATTTAACAATCATTAACAGAAATGCAAGACAAAATTTGCAACCTGTTTTTCTTAGCTTTAGAACATTAAATTAAGTTTTTCATTAACTTTTATCAATGATTATTTGATATTTCTTAAAAGGTACAAAAGCACCATTTAAGAATAAATAACACACTGTAAAAAGAAATTAACTGAACCAACTTCATTGAATTGCTTCAATTGGTAACAAATAATTCAATTAAGTTTAAGTAGCTCAAGTTATGTCTATCCAACTCAATATATTATGATCATCTAACTCAATTTATTCAGTTTTTTAAACTGAATTTATTAAGTGTGTTTAGGATGACAAATTTAAGTCAGTCTTTCTCAAATCATTTAGTTTACTTCAAATCAAGAAGGAAACGAGTAAATGATCACTTTTTCATCAGAGTTTTTTGAATCAAAAAACTCTTGCTTTCAAATAAAGACAGACTTTATTTGAGAAGAGTGAGTAATGACAGAGAGGGAAGACATGAAGCAAAGGTCATCAGGCTGGAACTGAACTTATGACTGCATGCTGCATTGAGGACTAAGGTCTCCTTATGGGAGCTGTGCTCCACCCTGCACCACCACAGTCAGTACAGGATCTGTCCCTGGTGAAGCTTGTGTCATGGATACAAAGATGCCATTGGACTTAATTGTTGCAAATACAGTTTTGAGACTGCACTCTGAGAAGTGTACTCTAAAAATACACTTTTTAGAGAAATACAATTGAAAGTTAAAACAGGTCAGAAAAAGTTTGGCTTTACGAGAAAAGATTGATATTTTGACAGCTCAAGTGGTTTTTATTATTTAAATTTTTTTGTATGGAATTATTTGAATATATTCAGAAGCAGTTTATATAGCTTTGATTTCCATAGTTGTCTTGTCATGAGCATTAAAAAAATCAAAACAGCCATTTTGTTTACTTTCTCTTGGAATGTCTTTAGTTTCCATAACTCACTTGTTTTGGCAAATCAGACCCAGGAGAGCAGAGCATACTTCCAGGCTCCTGTTCACTGACTATACTTTTCACAGACTGGTTAATTGAGGCCTGTATTTCTGTTTTCATTTTTTCTGCCAAACAGA